GTACGTGCGCCCAGAGCTACCGTCTCTTCCACCAACAACTGCTGTAACCTCTCCCTTCACGTGTGGGGCACCCGACTAGCTGCCGTTGTGGTCATCTCCCGTGTGCTTCGAGTCCAGAGTCCGGACAGACCAACCTCGGAGTGTTTTGTTCTCGATCCCGCGATGAACGCACACGATCCTAACCGCGGCGTGACGTTCCCCTATCGCGATGTACTCCCGGGAGCGTTGTGTTCACGTGTGTGGGTGTGCGGGAAGCTGCGTGCGAGCTTGCCGACTGAGTTGATGCCTTCGTGTGTGTGCGATGGCGCTCGTGTCAATTTGTCGTTTTCTCGTGTCAAAATACCTCGGGTGAAAATATTTTGACCACGTTTTCGAAAAATTTCGACCTGTGATTCTGACATGAAAAAAAAAGTGCGGCGTAACCTATCGTGTCAAAATTCTGACGTCTCGTGTCAAAATTCTGGTCTCGTGTCAAAATTTCGTGCTCGTGTCAAAATTTCGTGCTCGTGTCAAAATTCCTGACACACGTGGGACCCATGTAATAATATATTTTTTTTGTGCGGAAATTTCTTTGGGACATTCCGGAGGGGACAGCTGCCGAGCATTGGACCATTGGACCATCCCCGCGGTACTGGGTGGTCCGCAGGCCCTTGACAACCAACAACGAATGGTTGTGGCGCAAATCCGGCATGGAACTGCTAGTTGGAAAGCGTCCGGGGATTTGATTCAGAAGTAATTCCGACTTTGTCGTGATGGTGGAGCCCTCCAGGTACATGGCAGCCTGCTAAGGGTCAGGTCATGGGTTCGAGTCCCGACAGAGTGAGTTTTTTCTCGCTTGTTAAATCCTGGTCCCCATTGGAAGCGACGCGCTGCAAAGCTCGTTGTTTATTAACTTGATCGACTTCACAAGTCACGAGGGAAGGGATTGCTGTACCCTTCTCGGGATAAAAATATCTCAGGCAGGAACCGCAAGAGAGGGTCCAACCCCCCCCTCCTATGTGACCCCGGTTGGTCGTCTAGCATGTAGAAGTGGAGGATAGGGGCCAAAGGGGCAGACGACAGAGTCCAATAATGGGAGACAAAAATAAATAAATGGTATAAAGTCTTGACGTTCGCAATGACATCGGTTGCATTGTATGCATATGACGATTGCGGCACCAAACCATCTACTTGTACTTAGGCCTCTGCTCCATCGGCCGTTTTATTTTCGATTTAGATACACAAACTTTATTTACGTACTACTTTCAAGTAATTTCACCTTCTTATTCTCCGTCATACAAACACAACGGCCGAGGGAGCAAAGGCCTACCTTGTACTTCGCGTATGACGACCACCCTTAGTGTTACCCCTGGACAGGTTAATCCCCCTCCGCCACCGACGCCTGACGCGGTGGCCCACAGGGGGCAAGTACGAGGCCTGTGGAATGAGCTCATGCGCATTGCTGACGACGATCATAGGCGTGACTTTCGGTACAGCGAGAGTAATGGACTCCACTCGCAACCAGTCATGCTGCGTCGGTGCATTCGTCCGTTCATTGCGTCCGTTGACGCTGACCTGAACGCTGTTCTCCAACCGAATATCGACGCCGCCCTGACCGAACTCCACGGAGAGGACATGCTTGATCATTCGGCTGGCCTCGGAGGCGCGTTGGAACAAGTTGTGGTTATATATGTTGGAGATTTCCGCGTCTAGCCGCAGGGCGGTCGCGTTCCACGGGCTGTTTTGCCTCGGGCCGGAAGGATTCTGTCATCGCCAGCAAAATATCGCCCATCTCTTGCGTCGCGTCACTACAGTAGGACACAACACGGAGGTGCTGTCAACGCTCCTAGCGATTGATGGGGTCCTTCCGCTGCTATCGGGGACAGGCCTCGACCTCCTGGAGGGCGCAGTGCGAGGAGGGAGCCTTGCGGTCACGTCTGCTCTCCTTGCGGTTGACAGCATCCTCTCGCAGGTGCGTGGTGTGCAAGGTGGCCGTGCGATTTGGCCTTGGACCATCAGGAGGGGCGATCGGAGTATGATGGGGGCCCTGATCAAAGCGGGTGTGCCCATGGAGTACCGTCCTAGGCTCGGCATCCCACCTGTCCACTGCGGTTGCAAGTGACCGTGACGGGGCCCTGGGGATCGCCCGCGACCTTGTGGATGCCAGGGCCGACGAGAACAACAACATGCCGGGTACTGTGTCTTACCATACATGTGGAGGGACTACGGGAATACCCTTCAATGCATTGCCGCTGCTAGACACAAGGAAGACATGATGGGCCTTCTTCTGGCTGCCGGAGCTGATGTTGGAAAGGAACGGGTGGACACGTCCCCGCTCCATGCTTGCGGCACAATGCGACTGCTGCGGAGCAAAACAAGGTCTGATATCGGCTGGCGCAAGCGTGCACCAGTTGGATTCTGGAGGCCGTGCCGCGCTGCACATGACGTGTCTGCACAACTGTGAGGGTGCCGTCAAGCTACTACTGCGGTACAACGCTTGCATGACCTTGCTTTGCGACGAAGGTCTATCACCGTTCGATGTGGTCATCATCGCGGTTCTCAACAGGCGAGAGAGTAACGGATTTTACCCCCAAGGGTATTCCCCAAGTGGACGTAGTTCCACAATAAACGCCGACGAGATCTATATTGCTGACCACATTCACGACCTATTGAGAAGGACCAGTGGATGAAGACGCCGCGGTTGGCTGGTCCTCATGCGCCACCGTTTCGCACACGATCTCGTTGCCACTGCGTCATCCTCACCGCCGCGATCGTGCGTAGAATCGGCCTTTAGCGGCAAGACCGCAACCCCCAGCAAGACGAAGGAGGACGCCAACGACGGAGGTTGCGAGCTGCCCGGAGATGGAGACATCAATTCGGCTGGTGCTTCCCCGAAAGGTACCGCGCCGTCTGAGGCGTTTGAGGGTCGAACGAGCCAGCATTCACTCTGCAAATGCCAGTGGTGGAGTGTCCCCAACGGTGGAGGAAAGGTCCAGGTATGCCATGTTCTGCGGGGTGCAGTGGAATGGCTTGTGCAGTGTCCCGACGAGGTTGGCGTCTTCAGTGAAACCTCGGCGTTTCTATGACAACCTGGCCGAGTGCAAGCTGCTTGCCTCTACCTGCGTGTTGGAGGTGGGTACACTTTTGATTTTGTGCCGCAACTCCCTTAGGGAAGGATGAGAATGAGAAGAAGGGACGGGAGATCCAACAATATGTACTTCAGAAAGTAGCAGTGCGCACACAGCAACCACCGCCGGTATGAAGCTTCTACCGTGAGTAAAGTAGGACACCTGGTCCGGTTTGTGATCCTCCACGTGGCATGGACAATCGCCCTATTGGCCAGACTGGAAAATGAGGCTCTTCGTCGGTGGATCTTTACCGCTTGACTACTTCCAAAGGCAATTCTTCTGTGAAACCCTTGGTTTTGTTGTCAAACTCTCGGCCCTATCTGTGTTAAATATGTTCTGAGCGTGGAGGACGGCCTTATCGGTTGATTGGACACGAACCCGTGGAACACGTAGCAAGAAGGTGATGATCCGTTTGGGTCGTGACACTCTGTTGATATTGTATCCTTTCAGGCGGTGTCAGCCGAGAAGATTCGGTTTTGGGAGGGGTTCAGTTTTGGTGAGACTTCGCCTGCTGGCTGGTTTTGAAAATGGCCGTGGAAAGTGTTGTGCACCCATCGTTGCATCTCGTTTCATTTTCCGACAGTGCCTGTGGACGTCGGCGATCGGGCACGAATGCGGAAGCACTGAACGTGGAAACACCGGCCATGTACGGTATGTTTGTTGCCAATTATATAATAGTTGGATGCTGGTCACGGTTCTACCCAATCCCACTATTGGTTACCGAATACCTGCCGCGAGCGACATGTATGCCGTGTTGGCTAGGCATGTTGATGGTTACGATAAGGGGTGACACCTAGTAGCCGAATGATAGCGCTTGTACATATTTTCAATGACTTGAAACGGCTTACCGCTTGTACATCTGGTCCATGACCTGATGGACAAAATGCCTAGGAGTTCCTGTCATAGGGGTGCGTCCATGTTGTCGCGGGGGAGGCCGTTGCGCGCGTGCTTGGTTCTGCACGGGACTGCTTCATCTCTTCATTCGATTGATGTCCAATGAATGTTTGTATTGCATGTTTTGTTCCTGTCTTCGGGGCTTGAGGCCACTCGTTTCATCAATATCCACGAATGGATGGATGACAATTTTACAAACCCAGCCCGCCAAGTCGTGTTTCACCACAAGTCCTACAACCTTTAGGAACTTTCCCCACGTTCTCCTCGGAAGATTGTCTCTCGGAGAGACGTCGATGTCGCCGACGCTCCGAGCCACGAGGAAGCGTACCGAGGAACCTTAAAACGTCTTCCACGAGGCTTCCTCGGATCGTTGACCGTGACTTCTACCCGAGAGGGATGCGAGGGCGCGCCCTCGCACACCTTTCTCTCTTCACTTCTTTCCCGATCTCATCCAGAGATTCTGCCTCTACTGAGCATCACAGCCTGTGCGGTGATCGTACACACCGCTCCATATCCGTGGCCGTTGTCAGTGGAACTTCTGTGTACCTCCCTGCCGTGTTTATCGAGGGCAGCCCCTTGAATGAATGAAGTCGTTTGCGCAGCCATCGCTCCAGTTCGAACAAGGAGAGATCATGCCTAGAGTTGGTAATGCAACTGGGTCCGATTCTTCTCCGATGTCGTCTTCTGGAATTCACTGCCGACAGGACCCGCTCCGATCGGTAGTGGAAACTACAACAACCCGGGCTGACTCGTATAAAGGGATTGCCACACGCTGTGCAGTCTGAAACACGTGATGAACTCGCTGGTAGTAATGTTGTGGAACGCTAGTGCTTGAGGTGACATTTACCTTGGGGCACACTGAAACAGAGGGGGCGGGATCGAGTTTCTCCACAGGGACCAAAAAGGTCCTGTCCCCTGCTTTATCCTTCAGGCAACGAAGAAGCAGCCGAAACAGCTTACATGAATTCCGACGTGCCAGCACTATTGAAAGGCCGCCGGGAACTCGTTCGGGCATCGCAACAACTCCAAACTGGACAGAGAAAGAATCACGAGGAGTGAGTAGTTCGGTGGTAATGAATCGTCATCGATGGTACTAATAACACCACCAAGGAAATCCGGTTCTTGCTGGGAGAGAGAAGGGGGACGAGAGAAAGGTGAGGTGCACCCGAACGACACGGCCCGAACGGCGGTGGCATGGTTCGACGGAACGTTTGGAGTGGTCTGGCAAGAATGGCGTCAATGATTCGGTCGATAGAGGGCGCGAAGTTGTCCGAAGACGCTCATGCGTGGAAAGATTTTGAAAACTCGTACACCGCACCACGAAGACAAGACAAGACGATGGGAAGTACTCGCTGGAAGACAGCAATCGAGAGCTGCGCTCGGGAGGCGGGCGTTGTCGCATGAAGGGCGGCGTACTTGTCGAAGGATCTTGCTCAACAAACTCAGGCCGCGCCGACGAGCAGAGCACAGCGCCGGGGTCATTGGCTTGAAGGTCATGCCCCATTAAGACTCGGTCGAAAGGAATGACTTTTGTAAGATTTTTTTCACCAGATCCAAGAAGATGCTCTCTTCAACTCGGAATGTTAACCGAATTCTCACAAGAAACAATTTGGAGATGAGCACAATGTTTTCACGCTTCCGTTCCCAGAGAAAGTGGTTGAAACCACGGACGTCAAGGCCAAACTTCGTGTGTAAGGCGGGGTCGGGCATTCCGATGGTGCCCTCCGTAACTTGTTTTCGTAGTCGAGAAAGTCGATGTTTTTCCCGCGGCAACAAACTGCTCAGCGCATCAACAAGCCACACTGCTAACCGGGGAAGTCGAGGGAGTCACAGCGACAAAGGAGAAGGGGGTGTCCAAAAGCAGCCTGTAAGGAATTCCATGGCATTGGCAAAGGATGTGAACGGTTGTGAAACTGTCCTCTAAAATATGCGTCGTGCATATCAATGACGCCAGATCAAGAGAAGTCTTATTTACTCCCTTGGACTCCATCGTCCGACAAGGATCAGCTGCTGCTCCTGCTCCTGCTCCCGATTCTGTTGCTGTTTACGGTTGTTACAGCAGGTCCAACGAAGGCCGCCGAGATTCTCGTTTTCATTTCGATCAATGGCACGGTCTTCACACGGGTCCGCTCTGAGGTGTGGGCGCGATTGCGTTTGTCGACGGCTACGTAAGGACGAGACTGTTCAAGGAAGGGGCGGGGTTCCCTCATAGCAACGTGTAGACGCGTTTAGCTGGACACGTCCTCTGTACGCGTATGCTGCTACTGCACTGTTGCAGTACAGTAAGAATGCGGCGGAATATGTGGCACAAAGGGGTGACGGCGAATGGAGGGGATCGCGGGACGGTTGCCTTCTCATTCTGCTCTGTATCATACCAACACGCACCCACGCGCGCACCCAACAACGCTCCCTCCCTGTGGAGCCCGTTTTGCCTTTGCTCGGTGATCCAAGTTCTAGTGGACGGCTGCGCCACGACGTCGGCCTCCAACTTCAAACGCCGAGCACGCGGGACGGTCCATCAATGAGCCGGACACGATGAAGGAAGGCGGCACGTGTTTGTTGGATGCTCGGGTCGGAGCTACGTAGTTCGAGACGCTCTGAGGCACTGGATAATGATGAAGTCCAGATGGTAGAACTCCGACTTGGCGTGAGCTCCCAGTGTTTGGTCTCTGCTAGGGGAAGGTATACTCTGCTGGTGCACATATCATATGTGCGGGTAGAATTGGTGTGGAAATTTCTTCGGCGTGAAGAGCTCTTCGGGCTGTGGGTTATCCCCGTGGTTGCGTGGTCCATGGGCCCTCGAAATCCTAAGTTGTACAAATACTAGGTGGTGGGGTAGATCGGGCATTGAACTGCGTAGAAAGCGCTAGTTCGAGGCATCTCACGTGCAGAAATCCGACATCTATCGTGAGGAAGTACAGTGCAGCATGTATCTTATTGCACCATCCTAACACGACCGGGTTGACGTGACCACAGTATAGCATACTCCGTATTTCGCTTCCCACAACTGGCTATCTGTGCTCCAAGATCGTACATGCATGCGCGTACACGACCGACTTCACGGCGGCAAGGATGATGCATCAGTGAGGATAAACAGTCTATGTGCTTGTGTTGGGCTCGAGTAATTCTATTTACGACACCGGTGTCGTGATTCTTATTTACGACACCGCCAATATCTCAGCCCACAGAGCTCTGATTGGCGCCAAACCAATTGCGTTGGGTAGATATGACTCGTGGCTATCACCCAAGCGTTTTGAGGGCGAAATCCGGTCAGTGGTTGCAGAGATATGCTCAAAAAACGGGATGATGCTGCTGTGCCTCTTTTCTGAGTATATCTCTGCGGTATCCTGTTGGTATTCCCCTCCAAGTAGCTTGGATGATAGCGTAACTCCGCGTAGAGACCTCCAACAGACACCAAATAACTTGCGTTGTGGTGCCACGACCCACCGCTATCATCCAAGCTACTTGGAGGGGAATACCAACAGGATACCGCAGAGATATACTCAGAAAAGAGGCACAGCAGCATCATCCCGTTTTTTGAGCATATCTCTGCAACCACTGACCGGATTTCGCCCCCAAAACGCTTGGGTGATAGCCACGAGTCATATCTACCCAACGCAATTGATTTGGCGCCAATCAGAGCTCTGTGGGCTGAGATATTGGCGGTGTCGTAAATAAGAATTACGACACCGGTGTCGTAAATAGAATTACCCGTTGGGCTCACATGGATGGGGATATAGTCTGTACGAGGTACATGCGCACAGAGAAAGACTCTGTACTACTTGATGTACTTGTAGTGTAGACTAAAGCAGTAGGCCTCTCGCTGTGAGCACCCATCCGCAGAGAGGATGCACCTGTGCAAGAAGTACCCGTTCGTACAAATGATCTTCTCTGTTTAATCACTTGACATTGGTACGGCGAGCGCACATACCTTTTCGAAGAGCAGCACTGCAGCAGTAGATTCGAAAATGTTGAGGGGAAACCGCCTCACACACGCGCCAGATAGTTGCGATATGTACCAGCTAAGTCAACAAGTCGACCACTATCCACTACACATCGCACACAAGTGTAAAAGTCATGAAAAATTATGAAATTCTGAGTGTTTGGGGTACAGTAGTCGACCCCGCTTTAAAGACACACCACGTTTCCCCAAAATAAGGTGTCTTTAACGCGGGGAAGTGTCTTCGAAATTCCGGGGCCACTTACGCACCAACCCCGGGGCCAATGAAGGCGAAACATATGTATGTATGTCAAAAGGTGCGCATTCGCAGCAGAAAGGCGACCACAAGAGGTGTTGCTTGAAACCTACGACACAATCAAGGTGATTTGAAGGTCGCAACCACTGCTGCTATTGTCAACGCCAATGATATGGGGATGGAGTGTAGACTCATCGTAGAACGCGTTTTCGTTTGACGTTGGCGTCTTGTTTAAGAGTAGATGTGACAGATTTGCGTAGAATAGGGTAAGATGTTATCATGAACGGAGAAGAAAGGGCTTTTCCAGCACGGAGATGTAGCATGGATCAAAGCATTTGTTGGATTTCAGCGTTTACAAGAGGACATCAACGCAGTAGTATTTTCGCAAGCTTACGAACGCATGTATGTATGTAGGATACCATGAGGATTGTCATTGGNGCATTCGCAGCAGAAAGGCGACCACAAGAGGTGTTGCTTGAAACCTACGACACAATCAAGGTGATTTGAAGGTCGCAACCACTGCTGCTATTGTCAACGCCAATGATATGGGGATGGAGTGTAGACTCATCGTAGAACGCGTTTTCGTTTGACGTTGGCGTCTTGTTTAAGAGTAGATGTGACAGATTTGCGTAGAATAGGGTAAGATGTTATCATGAACGGAGAAGAAAGGGCTTTTCCAGCACGGAGATGTAGCATGGATCAAAGCATTTGTTGGATTTCAGCGTTTACAAGAGGACATCAACGCAGTAGTATTTTCGCAAGCTTACGAACGCATGTATGTATGTAGGATACCATGAGGATTGTCATTGGTTTATTTCAAATTGAAGAGAAGATATTTTTACGATGTAAGTGACAGTAGAAATAAGTCCTACATATGTTGTTGTACTTCGTTTTGGTTTAATATTCATGTAGAGTATGAGACTTTAAGTGAAAGTTTTCTGAGGTACATCTGCAATCGTCGAAGGCAAAAAAAAAAAAACTGATGGAGACGCTTTGCATTAATGCGAAACCAGTTTTGTATATGATGTTTCTCGAGTGGTTATTTGTGTTTTTGTGTTGGTTTGAAGACTATCCACCTTGGACTTCCAGATCGTATATTGTATCAAGCAGGGGGGCTGTTTGGGGTAATTTGATACAAGATCCGATCTTCTCCAGAAAAGGGCGTTCTTGTTCTTACAGTATTTTAACATCATTTATTTGCTATATTGTCGGCTGTCAACCATGAGCAACACTAGTACTGCTGTCGACACAAGAAAAAACCAAGGCATGGGGCAGCAACTGTCAACCTTCTTGGTCCACAAGGGAGACATTGGTCCTGCGTACCCTCCCTGATCTACTAATGCTCTCAAGCGAAACCGCAAGGGGGAACACTGAAAATGAAACGTGTCCCTTGCAAGTAGAGTGACAAATTTACGGGTCCCATGCATCCAGGTGACAACGGCAAATACCGGAAATGCCGAAAATGCCGCCAAAATTCCACTGAACCAGAATTCTACCCTTCAAAGAGTCAGCCAAGTATGCACATGAAGGAGCGCACACGCAGCCATTCGTCTGAGCTACTCCCCCACCTCT